TGCAATCTGCTCCAAGCAGACAAGTCGATCAGTCGTGTGGAAATAAAGTGTCTAGCGCCAGCAAAGTACGTTTGTTTGTGAATTAATTAAATATATCCACAGTCCCGTCTGAATGCCAGGCAACGCTAACATGGAAGAATTGTGTACAATACTCGCAAAAACGCGTGATCCGTCGACGCAAAAAGAACAAGATGAGGTGATAATACAACTTTCATTCATTACCTTTGACCTTTAACACACAAATTTTCGGTATTTTTCATCCGAAATTTGTGCGTATGCGTGAACCATAATCGCCTAAGCTTACGTGTAGTCTTTTTCTTGATTCTTTGTTGCAGATACTGCTGCAGCCATTCGCTTACATACAACAAATACCAGGCAAACAATTCCGTTCAGAACTGGCCTTGGCATTCAATCATTGGCTTAATATTCCGGCGGAAAAATTACACCAGATTGGCGAAATTGTGCAAATGCTGCACAATTCCAGCTTATTGTAAGTATCGTTCATTTATACATATTTTGGTTATTTAAAGCATGCCATGGAATGCCATCAAAAGCACCCAATGCACTACTACTAACTGAGTGATAGCTATATATGTACGTATGTATGAATGCTTGTACATAAGGACATATATCGAATGTGTTAAGTGTGAAACGTCTGCCTGCCCTGCCTCCCTCCCTCCAGCTGGCTAGGCGGCTACTGCATCATAATCCACCGAAATATACAATGTCATGTTTACGTTTCAAGTTCGAATGATTTCTATATGTGCATATAAATATGTGCGTTTAGCGGCGCCATTTATACTCTTGTGTGAATGTCCGTATATTTAATTTGTGCGCAAATAATGATTTCTTGTTTTATTATTTTTATTTTTAGTTGCTCTTTTTGTTTTGTTCTTGCTTTGCTTCATTGTATTGAGGTTGGTGGCACGGTTAATATCAATTCACACTCACCTCCTTCGAGTTTGTTTATATCACGATTGTTTATATTATTTTTCCATTATGTTTCTGTTTATATATGTATATATGTAGCGCTAGAAATTATTGCGAAATATTTACATACTCATATATACAGTATGTATGTATGTATGTACATACCAAGCCATTGTGCTCATTTGGTTGTATTAAGCAGCCGCAAATTTCAGATTCAAAGCACATAGAGTTTTTTCAGTTAAAACTTTTATATACAAAGGCACCTATGACACAATGAGATTCGCAAAAGGAAGCTTAAATTGCCTTTAATAGTTCTCGCGAACTGAAAACGAATCAATTTATTTGGATATTTGTATCTCCATACATATGTATGTACATATGTAAATTTATCATCAAGCGCTTGTAGGAAGAAGTGTTCTGTAAAATTCCCTATTCAATTAATTTTGAGGCGACTCAGGGCGTTATGTCTTGCGACGGCAAAAAACACCTATCTGTTTATATATGTGTATGAGTATATATCGACGGCTGAGTAGAAGATCGACCCATGTATCGCGGCAGCCAGTTCGAAAATGCTCTATCTCAGAAAAATTTTCAAGAGCGCCCTATCTCAGATTTTTATTTTATTGAAGAACGCCCAATTTTAGAATTCAGTTCAAAAACAGCCTATCTCAGCTGCCGATTCAAAAATGCCTTATCTCAGCACATTTTCAATACATTTTCAGCTGAGATAGAGCGTTTTTGAACCGAATTATGAGATAGGGCTTCTTCAACCGAATTCTATGGTAGGGTGTTTTTCAATCAAATTCTGAACTAGGGCGTTCTTGAAAAGTTTTCTGAGATAGGGCGTTTTCGAACCGGCTCCCGAGATGGGTCGATCTTCCACTCAGCCGGCGATATGCAAATTTGTAGGAGTATGTATAAACATTTTTTTTTTACAAATTCGCATATGATCGTAAATTTTTTGCTTATCTTTGAAAGGTGTCGAAAATAATATACTGCTGGACAATTACAGTAAATTAAAACCAAACCAATTTTAACAACAACAGTTTTACGCCGACTCCGAACGGCGATTGTATTTGCATTAGAAGCTGTTTTTCATAGCAGAACTACACTTGGAGGTTTGCCATTGCCTGCAGAGGAGCTACCGCTATTAGAAAAGGCTTTTTAGTTTCTTTTGTTTTTTGATGTTAGTGGGAAACTGGCCTCGATCCCAGACCCTGAGTTCCGCGCCATAAAGGCAAATATGGCAATGAACTGGCTCAGAGACTGGCAAAGGGAAGCAGCAGCTACCCAGCCAGTAGGATCAGAAACCTTCATTCCCGCGACAGTCGGGTCTTCGTAACCAGAACTGCCCAGATGTACATATGTCTGGGCAAGGACTGCCACTTCAGCAACAACAAAACTGTTGGGGGAACAGCAACAACCGGTATCCTCTCTCACTATAGCATCACATGTTATAAAGGAAAAGCTAGTAGTGGAGAAGCGGCTGCTTAAAAGTTACATATGTACAACTTCAGAGAATTAGGAACCTTATCACTCTTCCACATATAAGTTTAAGGCATATAACAGGCACCTACATACAGGTGAACATCATAAATAGGAAATGAATTTTCTGGGAGAAACCGCACTGCAGTTTCGTCTAGAATGCGAGGCGATCGTAGAAAGAGGCAAATCCATTTCGAAGAGGCTACGCATATTCACTCACTGCCGCCCCTGACACGAATGGTTTCTATTGGGACTTTAGACCAAAATAAGGTATAGTGATGAGTTTTGACCCAAATCCGAAGTGTAAATACTTCATTACATCTATCTATCTACATACATACATACATATGTATATAGTTCAAACATATTTAGATAATACTGACTTTTTGGATGAGGCATCCTAGTGTAAGTGTAAAAGTATTTATGTTCTTTTGTAAAAATTTGAATACAAAGTTGCGGAAGCTGTAAGTGATAATTGTACATTGTTGCATATGCATATGCAATTGATTGAAGTATGTGCTTTACAGCGATAGTGTGCCAATAATTGTAGCAATAAAATGTAATAGAATGTAAATGCTGCCATATGCTGAATGAACTCGAATATGTATGTATGAAGGCATGTGCGTATGTGGCTTCAACATGTGGTTGCTTCAAAAACAATCACACCAGCTGCGAAACAAAAAAATGTCGTTTAATAATGGAAAACACACTTGCTTCACCCACTCCAACTGATGATTGGCAGGCAGGGCATATGCAAAGTTAACGTATTTAATGGTATTGCCTGCCCTGAAAGAAAAATTTATAAAGAATCGTAGTGTGACTTAACTTTGGTGGTAGAAAGTCAGTAGAGCTATTTGAGATTTCCACTCGAGAGGTAGTCAAAGTATATACAGTCATGTGAAAAATAATAGGGACACGACGTTTTTACTAGTTTAGCTATTTTTATGTTTGTTTAATGTTTATTATTTTGTTAGAAAAATACAGCTCGTTATCTAACCAATACCATATAAGTCCAAATTTCAAACTTTATAGAAGAATTAGAAAAATTCAACAAAATTTTACAAAAACAAATTTTTTATTTCGAAATTTGTGGAAAAATGTTAAGTATGCAGTTTTATAGCCATTAAATTCCAGCTTAAGAAAGTGCAAGTTTCAAGTGGTTAAGAGTTCACGTTGACTTTTGATAATTTTATTTTACGGATGGTGCTATTATTTTCTTCCATACAAAAACAAAATTGTCTAACATACTTTGTATGGAAGAAAATGCATTAAACCGTCAGTAAAAAAAAAATTTCGAAATTCAACGCAATTTCTTAGCCACTTGAAACTTGCACTTAATCAACTAAAGAACTGCATACTAAAAATTTATTTTTAAATTCTTAGTAAAAAGCTTGTTTTAAAATTTCGCAGATTAATTTTTTTTTTTAAATTTTCTACAATGTTTGAAATTTGGACTTATATGGTTTTTGTTAGATAATGAGCTGTATTTTTTTTAAATATAAACATGAATAAAAAAAAAGCCGAAAGTGGTGAAATTGTCGTTCCTCTATTATTTTTCACACAACTATACATATAATATTTTAAACAAGCGAACAACTTGATGTGTTTTTCCAAATTGGTAAACGTCGTTGCCTTAATTCGACTATTCTCTCGTTTTGAACTCACGAAAATGTCTAGAGAGGTGAAATTTTACAATTGTGGTAGCTTCTGTGCAGCTCCATCGAACAAAAGTCAATAATTCGACCTGCCGAATCAACAGATTAAATTCCTGTAAATATTTGTTCTTTAAACTAATTATTGGACAGTATTTTATTCTACTGGTGCACTCTCCCAGCTCTTCACAAGTAACTCTCTTTCCTACAGGGTTTGCTAGAAATTGCCTTTTTTGATTTGTGGGGAGTTAGAATGTGCCCATGACAACTCTTACTTTACCACATATTGCATTGAAATGTAATACGCGCCTGCTTCAATTGTACGCTAAGGTCTTCACACACACGCATTTCAATTTTAATTCACTGCCAGGCGACTGATTAAAATGCCATCGCTGTCTCGACTACTGCATAGCCCGCAGCCCTTTGTAAATTATTTTATTGATTTGCTGCCTTCTTTATTATAACAATTTTACATATGTACATACATACATTTGTGTGTGTGTGTGTATGTGCATACATTTATTAGAATTTTTCGGCGTTTGCTTGTTTATACATAAATAATATGAGTAATAATAGAATGGACTATGGAATACATACAACATACATATGTATGTATGCATGTATGTATAGCTATCGGTTATCAGTGAAAATTTCTTTTTTTTTCTTAAGTTCTGGTTTGAGTCTCATTAGGACGTGTCTCCAGCGTTTGGGCGCGTGTGCGGCATACACAAAGTACTTGTAGGTGTATGAGTTAGTTCAAATAGCGTTAATCGCAGAAAGAGAATCATGACAATTTTAATGCAGGAAAATTCATACATACAGTCAGTCAATAAAGTTTAGGTACAGCCAATTTTTTACAATACGGGCAAATATTTTTTAAATATTTTAGTTTTCGGCAATTTTTTATAAAAATATGGTTAATTCTACAACAAAAACCCCAAAAATCAGAGTTCCAAACCTTGTGCAAAATTGAAGAAAATTCTGCAAAAATTCATTCAAATATTGCACTTTTTATTTACGCTCTCTGGAAAAATGTTGAGTTTGCAGTTTTTTAGTCCATTCAATTTTAATATAATGAAGTGCAAGTATGAGGAAGCTAGGACCTACCACGACGATTTCCTCTAAACTCTCGGAAAATGTTACTAGTTCACGAAGTTCTTAAATTGTTTTATTTTTATTGATTATTGTTAATTTTTGAGTTTATGAAGGATTTTCTTTAGTAAAATTTTATCGGATACTATATTTGTCACATTCATTCAAATGATAGTTACATAAAACTAGGAAATCGTTTGGTATTTTTAACCGACTTCCAAAAAAGGAGGAGGTTATCAGTTCGTCGGAATATTTTTATTTTATTTTTTTGTTTTAATGTATACACCGCATAACTTTGGACCACGTCAAACGATTTCGAAAAAGGTAGTGTCTCAGAGATGGTTCCATACTAATCTGGTTTAGATCCGATGATTGGATCATGAAATATATATATATATATTTTATACGAGCATGGAAGTCGGTTTTGTTTTTTGCTTAAAAATTACTTGTAGTTAAAACAATTTTATACATTAGTTATCGCTCTACAGTAAAAGTTATCCTCCGATGTTGTATAGGTTCTGACGACATAGTTATAATCAACAAATGATCATATCCCAGAGTAAAATGTTCCACCAGTCACAATGGAATGGCCCATCTATAACTAAAAATTGTCGAAATGGCGCTTACGACAATTCATACAGTTTGTATACAAAAAAACAGATGGAAAGACTCATATCTTCGCCATTCTTGGGAAGTTTAGTCAACTGTTATGCCGAATTTACACTAGGCATGGAAATGAAAAAAAAATTATGCCATTTAAAAAAATGCCATGTGGAAATTAACTTAATTACTATTATTTTAATGGTAATGACACGATTAATTTTTAATGCCCGACTTTGTCATTTGTAATTTTTACCATTTAATGCCTAGTGGAAATCCAGCATTAGGCTGAACATATTATCTTTATCAAGCTTAATAATTGTATGGTGAAATCTACAAGAACGTAAATTTTGAGTTACTTTTCTATATTATTAAACATGCGATATGTATGTATGTATTTTGTGCATACTCGATACCTGCAGCTTTGCTGATAACGAATGATACTTTTTTTAGCGACTATTTACTTTCACTGGGGAATTTAAATATTTTTAGTCATTTCAAGATTTATCATCATACTGGCTACTTAGATATTACTTTTCATAGAATTCCAAAAGCTATTTTTCCCATCACACACTTAAACGACCTTCACACTCAGCATTTGCTTTTACAGCATTTGCCTAGGCAATTTTATGCTACAATTCCAAGATTTTAATTGTGCGCATTTAAATTTGCATTGTGCAATGTTTTTACATTTATTTTTTATTGCTTTTATGCATATGTGTGCCTATGTACATATGTATGTATGTATGCAAAAGAACGCATTCTCCTCCTTCACGTTTAATTTCACAGAAATATTCATCAATTGGCATTTATGATTACACACATCTGTATCAATGTATGTATGTTTGCACGTGCAGTAGTGGCAGCCACTGTAAACGAGAAAAAAAATCCCTATTCATTGGTGACAATTCAATTGCATAGCTTTTAAGTCAGCCTTTTTCTTGTGTTGTTGTCTCACGCTTTTGTTTGCTCCATTGTTGAAAATCTTTGCCAAGCTTCTACATACATATCTACTTACTAGACTGTGTGACTGACTCATCCATTGTGCGCTAGCCAAGTGTAAAGTGAGTAGAAATGCGCATAAGTATACTACGTTTATACCACTTACTTATATACAGTGTCTTGTCAATTTAATATGCACGCTTTTAAAATAAAATAAAAAAATGTACTCGAAAGTGAGCCCTTAAATATAATTATCCCAAAACAATATATCGTAACCTAAGGCACTGAAAAGGTGCCAAGCTCATTTTGAACAGGTAAGATGAAAAATCTATGTAGTTGCGTATTACCTGCCTTTCTGCATCAAAAACTTAATTTTGAAAAAAAAAAAATTAGACTTGGCACCCTTTCACCTTTTGGTAGCGATATGTAATTTAAGCCGATACTCTGCAATCAATGTTTAATCTCAAAATTTTAAACTTCTAAAATGTCCTAGCTTCGGCCCGGAATAATGTTTCTAAGGTAAGGGTTGTTTGGATACATCCTCATTTCTCCTTGAATATTTGTCCCGTCTTCGAGGAGTAGGAGTTCAGAAATTTGCGTTGCATTTTCACAAAAGCCCTATTCCTACAGCATCTAGATACATTTCTTCAACAAAAAGAAAATTTTGAAAGAAATGATGCAATTTATAGCATACAGTGGCATAGGCCAAACTTTATTTGCAAAATAAAAAATCCATTGAAGTTTAAATATTCAGTGAGTTTTCTTTTAATTTACTTTCCCTTTGCTTTAACTGATGATAAAACCCGAGAAAACTTTTCGAGCTGTGGGAGTAAATTTGGGAAAAAATAAATTTTTAGGTACTTTAGCACGAATTCCAAAAATGATACAATAACCCAAATAAATACATACGTATGTATGTACATAGTAGAGATGTTATTTTTTCGATTTTTGCGATCCCGGGATTTTCCAACAACTTGACATGAAAAAATTGCATCAATATAGTCTGAGAAGCTGTCCTACCATATAATAAATATTAAATAAATGGGTTTGAAACCTACTTTATTATTTAAGTTGAAAAATATTCCATTGATAACAAAACAAAAGACAGTAATTAAATTTATACGCATTTAACAATACTTTAGCGTGTACTTATCTTATAAAGGAACTTAAGGCATGTCGAAAAAAGCTCGATGCAAAAAAAAACTTATTTAAGTCAACATATGTATTGTGTGGCTGAAAGAAGTTCATAATACTATTTAGTGACAGAAATAAAAGAAACGCCTTATTTCAACCGGTTTAGTCTACATTTCTTTTATTTATTTAATTATTAAATTTTTGTATAAAAGTCTACCTCATTTATATATAATTAACTTCATTTAAATGCACATTTCAAAATTTGTACAGAAATTATAAAAATGCAAAAAAAAAATTGCCAAAATTTCAAACGTTTTACTCAGCATTTTTAGAAAAATTTTAGGTACGCAGTTTTATAGCCCATTAAATTAAAGTAGGGTAGAATGAAGTTTCATGCAATTACAAACTACCGTTGATTTTTGGGAATTTTTCAAACTATGCTGTGCATTTTCTTCCATATAAACAAATTGCCGAACATAGTTTGTATGGAAAAAATGCGTGACACCTCCAGCAAAAAAAAAATATAAAAAAATCGGCGTTACTTTTAGTCACTTGAATGCTCGCACTTTATCCTCCTGTAATTTAATGGGCTATACTTATAAAATCGCTTACCTAAAATTTTTCTAAAATTTCTGATTTGAAACAGTTTGAAACAAAAAACAAGTAAGAAAGGCTAAGTTCGGGCGGAGCCGAACATTAAAT